TTGGCCACCTGGGCACACTGCCAGCTCACATCCAGCCACCTGTCAGCAAACACCCCCAGGTCTTTTTCTGCCAGGCAGCTCTCCAGCCACTCCTCCCCAAGCCTGTAGCATTGGATGGGGTTGTTGTGACCCGAGTGCAGGACCCGGCACTTGACCTTGTTGAACCTCAATCAGCCTCAGCCCATCAATCCAGCCTGTCCAGGTCTCTGTGGAGCCTTCCTACCCTCATGCAGATCAGAGGGGGAATTGGGCCAAAAAAGCCTTTGCTGCCCTGCCCTCCTTGAGCCTCACGCCAGCAGGATGAGGAATAAGAGGGAAAGGGCACACATCCAGAGCAGAACAGCGCTGGAGACTGGCACTTGGCTCATAAGAATCTGCTTGTATTGGTGGTAGCGCTGAACTAACCTTGGAAAGGAGCAAGCTGGAGGAAGTCGGAGCCTCTGATCAGTGCCTCTGCCAGAGCCCAGCCTGCTCTGAGGACGGGGATGCTCATTGTACCGAGTGCCTGTGGATGATCCGAGAAGCGAGTAATGAAACCAAACCCCTCACAAGATTCTTTAATTCTGCATCCAGACACCCCAGCCTGTCACCCCACAAGTGGACAGGGGTCTGTTGGACTGGGGGGAAGGAGTGAGGCTTCTGGTTACCTCTAGGACTCCAGCCAGCCTTCCCTGTTCCTGGGCTGCTCGCTGTGTCCCATCACCCAGTTCCACGTGAGGTGGCGCTTACAAATTGTTCATACTCACTTCCGAGCCTCCCAGTCTGAAAATTCATCCAGCAGCTTGGCAGGATCAGCTGAGACAAAAGGCCAGTTAGAAATTACTATAACTAAGCTATACAGAAATGGCACCATGAAGATGCTTCCACAGATGCAGCCCTGTCCTGCTCTGGGGCTGTCACCAGGACACCCTCACTGCCTCCTTGCAACCCCCAGATGTTCACGCCTGACAGTCAGCCTCCAAACTCATAGAAGATGAGACATGCCAAAATAATCTCATTTCATTCCCTTTTCCCTCTCCTCATCCTTTCTTCCATGACTGGTTTAGCAGATCGCTCAAGTCTCCAGCCAGTGCTGTACATACAGTGCTGTGGAAAGATCTAGATGTGCCAGGGCAGGTGGCAGCCCAGATGGACTGAAGCAAGGCTGTGGCTGTGCTGGTTGATGAACAGTGGCTTTCGTGTTACCAACTCCTCTTGCCCGAGCCACATCGAAGGGATCTCCTGCCTGAGCAAACCCAGCTGTGGTGGCTCAGGGACCACAGGGACCCTCACAGAGGGAGGCTCATGCCAGCCAGGCCCTGGAGCGGTCACCAAGGTGGCTGCTGGTTCTTGCATGGGCAACCCCACTGCAGCAGTGGAGATGTGAGCACATGGCAGCCGTTCCCGTGAGTCAGGGTTTCTTCTGTCACACTGTCATGGCCAGCCCTGGCCTGAACCAGCACTAGCAGGACCCGTGGATGGGCTTGGTTACCACTAATCTCAGGATGGATCAAATCTGAAGTAACGACAAGAAGAATGTTCTGACATACTCCTCCTGCTGCTACAACCACAGTGACATAGAGAGGACAGCAAGCCCTTCCTTGACAGGCTTACCACAGGCAGCTAAGAGCTGTGTGATTGTCTCTGCTCTGATGATTGCCTCACCAGACCCTGCCACCAGTGCCTGGTGTCAACCAGGAGCTGAACCTTGAGCAGTAACTGTCATCCACCAGCACCTCCCCTCACTTGGCAGGTCCCTCTCACCCTGTGAGCAGAGCAGCAAGGACATATCCGAACCCCAGTGTACCTGGTTGCACCCCACGGTTACTTCCTGGCACACAAAAAATGCCTCAGGCCAGCAGACCTCCCCGTGACTCCCCCTTCACACTGTGAGGTGAGAGCTGGGAGCCCACCAGACCATCTACCAGGAGACTTGTCCACTCCCTGCACGGGGCCAGAGCTGTGGAGTTTCCCTGTGCAACAGTTATGGTGATGATGTGCATCTCTCACAGTGCTGTGCCCAGCATGAGGCAGAGTCAGGCCATCTGCACCCAGGCAGGGCACAAAAAAACCCACGATTGCGGGCATCCAGTGCCAGCATGGCATGGTCCAAATAAAAGGTTTGCAGCTGCTGCTCAGGCAGGATTAGGCCTCCAACGTGCTAAGTCTTGGCTCTGGGTGAGCCTAATTGCTGCTGCAATAAGCCCTGGCTGGTCCTTCCCTGAACTGTTTTCCCCACTCCCCTCTTTCCCCCCGTCAAACATTTTTTTTGCTGCAAAGCTTGTATTTGCCACATGTATGGTTCCTTCCTGCCCAGCGGGGCCTGGCAGAGCACGGGGGGAAGGCAGGAAATCTGCAGATGCCACTTTTATCGCTCTGCTCTTCCCAGCCAGCGTCCCACCACTCTCCCCCCACCCAGCGCAGCCTGTGGCTGACAGTGTGCGAGGAGCAGGACCCAGCAGCAGAGGCAGGAACAGGTGACAGCATCGTTCCACGGCCACACACCCTCCTGAGCTGTATTAGGAAACTTTCCAAATTGGAATTACTCAGATTTTAATAAAACCTTTTGATATTTTTCCATTATGTTTTGGCTGGCGGATGAAACTGGAGGTGTTCCAGGAGAGCTGTCACGGCGTGTGCGTGGGCCAGTTCAGTCTGACCGTGAGATGAGGACCTGTCACAGCCAGGAGCCCTGGGCAGTTGGGTGGTCACACCCCCCTTGGGCCTTGCTCGGGGTGCTCATGCTGTTGGGACCACGCAGCTGCTCTGTGAGCCCCCCAGGAGGCAGAGGGGCACCCAGCAGTGCCTCCCACCGTACCTTCATCGAGACCAAGCGAGCAGCTGCTCCTTGTGTTTAACCACAAGAGATGTGGGGACGCAGGGCACCTCTGCACCCTCCAAAGCAGCAGGATGGGCAGGAGGAGAGCACTGCATGGAGACTCAGAGGCAGAGCACCTTTCCTGCCCTCAGGGCAGAGACATTGCAGTGAATAACCTCACACTTGAGGTGTATCCAGAAGGATTTTCAACAGCCCTTGGGAGACTGGAGCAACTTTCTCTTGGTGACTTCCCACAAGAGCTGGCTGAGTGCTCCGTTTTGGACCATCTCCTAACCCATCAGCCCCAGTTTGGCTCTCTGACTGGCACAAATCAATCACCTTCTGGCATGTGGAGGCCACACTGGATGAGACCTCAGTTCTGAGGAGACACATGAGGTCTTCGCTTTGCCCCCTGAGAACAACTACATTGCCTGAGCAGAGCTCTCCAGCCCAGCTTAGGCACAAGTCTGCGGAGGATCTGCTCAAAGCTAGCAACGACCACGAGATGTACCAAAGGAAGGTACAAATTGCAATGCAGAGCATGAAAACCAAAGATACACCACAATTTTATTTATGGATGTGTAATAAATAAACGGTGGACAAAACAGGAAGTGCCACATTCAAAAATCCAGATCACTAAAGTGCTTTTAGACATAAATACAGGACGGGCAAAGAACAGCTCTGACATGAACACTTTTTACAGACAATTACAAAATATCTTCCTATGTCAATTCACAAAATTGTTTAATTGCTCTGGGGTACTATGGCTTGGTTTTCAAAAAGGTCTGTTCTGTTATGCATAGTATGGCAGATAACATTCAAGAGTGTACAAAATCATTGCATAAACAAAAATGTCTTTACCCCCTTCTCCCAAATATGAGTTAAGGAAGCTACACAGTGTAAATCCAGTGATAAGGCTGCATTGGCAGGCCAGATCCTCAGGAGGTGTAAACCAGGTTACACCAGCTTGAGGAGGAACCCCACCGTGTTTAAAAACCCTGCTGCTCCTCAAGGTGGAAGAACTGTGTGTTCAAAGTGGAGGGACTTGCGAAGCGGGTGCTGGGAAGGGTGGAAGTGCTCAGGGAAGGCTTCTGTAAACTCCTGCACCGTCTTTGCACCCGCATGTTTGAGAAGGGAGCGACTCCCGTCTCATTGCTGCTTGCTGTGCTCCTGGCTGGCTGGGGAAGCACTCGCAGCCCAGAGGGGACGGGCAGCTTTTCCCCAGCAATGGTCAATGCTGACCGCAATGCCTTCTCGCTTTTCCACCCTGGCTCTGCTGAGAAGTAAACAGCTTAAAAGTGAGAGGACAAGGGGATGTGTGTGCCCAGTTTTAAAATGCCCTGAATTCAGATAAAAGTTCCATTATTTAAGAGAAAAAAATATATATCAATAAATCAATAAATATTATCATCTTGTCAGGAAGCTGCGAGGTCTGGCCTCCTCCAGGGCAGCCCAGGCTCAGTGGTCCCTGTCCTTCTGCTCCATGGTGGGGTCCCCGTTGATGCACTGCCTCAGTACACCCCTCTTCTCGTGCTTGGCTGTCCTGGAGAGGTCGATGGCTGTGTCCTCCGAATCTTTTGCGGGGCCAAGCTTGTCGGAGCCCCTCTGGGAATTGGCCTGCTTCCCTTTGAGTTCCTCCTCCTCCTCCTGCTCCGCTCGCCAGCCATCTGCCAGCTTCTCTTGGCTCTCCGCCTTCCTGCTCACCTCCATGGACTTTTTGTGCATGCCTTGCAGAAGGGAGAGAGTAAAGCCAAGGGCGTCAGTTGCTTATTTCCGCCCAGGACTGCTCACCGTCATCTCTCCTGCCCTCCTGCTGCTTCCTTCAGCTCTCACTTGCATCCGGAGGAAAGCTCACGCTCGCTACCAGCCTTTCCCCACCCGGAGCCCTGCCAGCTGCTCTCTGCAAGCCTGAGAGCATGGCTTGCAGCAGAATTGGTCTGTACCTTCCTGCAGCAGGGAAGACTTACAGGGAGAGGGGTGGTCTTCCAGCCCATCCCACCCTGGATTTTGCGTGCCACCTCAAAGTAGGACCATGTAGGAGCAGAAGGTAGCTCTGAGGCAGCATTATCTTCAGTTGTGGGGGGAGGGTGATGACTTCCTAGATGCCCTGCAACTCCCATGCTGGCTGCTAGTGCTGGGAAGTCATACCTAACCCAGCACAGGCACCTGTCTGACATGGCAGAAATGGGTTTTCCCTTTCCCAGCTGTTCTTTGCAAGGAAGGAGTGGAAAAAACAGGGCGCTTGGCAGCCTGCACGCAGCTCACGGCCGAGGCCCCATTCTTTTCTGGGAGAAGGCGCCATATAAAAGAGGAAGGGCTGTTCATTCCACAGCTGCCCCCTGCCCCCCCCAGCCCCAAGCTCCCACTTACCCAGCAGCCATGGGGCGCAGGATCCCACCAGCCCGCTCTTGGCAGAGTTGATGATGGACTCGGGCAGAGGGATGGAGTGCCTCACCATGGCCCCGTAGAGGCCGTACTCAGCCATCACGCTGCTCCGGCCCCAGCACTTCTCCCTCTTCCGC